GTACTGGATTGTGGGTTGGACGTTTTCGGCTAAGCCCAACCACGGCCAGATCATTTGGACTTAGCTTGGGCTCATCCAATGGGCTTTTTAATTAGACGATTTTATTATTAAGTTTATTTATTTATTTATTGTAATCGAGTTTTTTTTTTTTTTCCAAAAAGCCAAGCAATTTTATTTTGGAGAATTATAATTATCCGTGCGAGGAGAACCGAGAACAGGTTTTTTCATATCTGTATGGTGCTATTATAATTTCTATTTGGGATTTAAGCGTAAAAATTTATAACGATAGTCTAAACAAGTATAGCTCACCAGTAATTTGTATATATCTCTGAAAAAGAAAAAACTTCGAGATATTTTCTTTATTTATATATCATTTATCTTTTTCACTTCTATTTAATGTGATATTATAATTGTATCTCAACACTTTTCGGAAATGATTCAATTATACAAGATCACTATTATGAAGCATTTAAATACTAGTTTTCTTCAATAATTAAAATTTGCAATAATATATATAACAAAAAGGAATGAAAATAATAATAGAAAGAACTTGAAGAATAATAACTCGTTATAGTAAAAATTTGAGACTACACAACAATGACCACACAAAGAATATTTATGTAAAAGTTACAAAATTAGTTTTCTACTGGAGACTTTAATTTTTCTCACTTTAGAAATTACAAGAATTAAAATTACATTTATAAGAAAAATGATAAATAATTTTATTATTATCCATCATGACCTTGTGTTTCCAATATTATTATGCTTTGGAAAAGCCAGACACAAAATTAAATTTGCTGCAATTTTAGGGGGGAGAAACAGACAGCTTAGATTATCAACACTGTTGAAAATAAAATCCAAACTTCCAAACTATAATTAAAATTGACTCATATTAAATGGAGAAGTTATATATATATATATATATATTTAATTATTTTTTAATTGACAATATGAACAGTGATATTAATTCAATGGATATACATCAAAATAGACACAGTAAGAGATGATCCAAATTGCATTATCTAAGCTTGAGGAAGTTGAGTTGTCAAAATCAAAGACTTCCACATTTTAATAACTAAGCATAAGATGAACAATTCAAAGAACTTAAAACAAAACTTTTCTTTTCTTTCTTTACACATAATAATAATAATAATAATAATGCCTAAAGCCCAATATTATTTAATTTAATGAGATGGGGTGTCATCTCCCAAAAATGAAATTGTCTGCCCCTAAAAAAAGAACATTACACACAAAGACATGTAATTAATTAAAATTTAATAATGTTAAACAAATTCATTCCTTTCAGACATGTTGAAGTCATCAACGATCATTCTATGAAATTAGTGTGTAGATTGAAATTTTAGATCTTTAAAACAAGAATGATGGTAAAAAGTTGCATCCAACGAGTGGGAGTAGGCTATGAAAAATCTTTCTCCTCTATTGCTCTATATTGAAGTCATTTTTCTATTTTTTTAGAGGTAAAATGAACTATACTCGTGTTGACTTATATTATTTGTTGTCATCGTCACATCTTTTGATGATAAGGCATGACATACGATGAGATTATCACTTTATTGACCTTGGATGTAGGGTTAAATCATATTTTTTGTCTCTCTCACCATTCAATCTATAATGGTAAGAATTATTTGTGACATTATTTCAGTTGCGTCAATTCTTTTACTTATAAAATAAATATTTAAGTGACGAATTCAACCTTCCATCTAAAAAAACAGATGTTTTATTCACTCATAAACTCTCGTTGGAATTCGCAACCACATCACATATTTCCCCAAATTCCACAAAATGACAACTCATTTTGACAAATTAAAGGGAGAATAAAAAATGGTGCTTTTTTTATCCTTTCATGTTGGAAGAATAAAGAAGATTTGTAGGGAAAAAAAAAGGCACATTTGTCAGGGAATCTATGCCAAAATTTATAGGAATATTGTTTCACTTTGACATATTTCTTGGCTTGTGTTAGGGTTTTGCGTAACTTTTTAGTTATAGTTTGCAAAAAAAAAAAAAAAAATTAAAAAAAAAAGATAAAACTTATAAATTTTACATCATAGATTTAATTTTAATTTTGTGCCTTTAATTTTACAAATTTTAATGGAGTATTTATGGTTTTGACTTTGATGCTTTGATGCTTATGATTTTAAAAGTTTCAATTTCGTTGCTGTGATTTAATCTTACAAATCGTCATAAGTTGTTATTATAAATACATGACACATTTTTCAATTTATATAATAATGAACTAGTATTTTCCATTTACATAATTATGTCAGCTAATTGCATTCCAGTTCTTCTTCTTTTTTAACTAGAAATTGCATTATAGTTCAAGGTTGAGTAAAAAAGTTTAATAAAAAAATGGATGAGTTTTCATATAGGTAAAAATATAGTTTACGACTGGTGGAGAGATTTAACCAAACCATAAGAACTAAATTAAAATTTTTAAAACTCAAATATCGAATTGAAACTAAGTTAAAATGGTAAATGTAAATATGAGTTTAGCTTAACGGTAAATGACACGTGTATATAACCCAAGAGTTCATGGGTTCGGATTCCCCACCACAATTGGTGTACTAAAAAATGTTCAAATGGAAAATCAAACTTGATCATTTAAGTAAAAAAAAAAAAGAAATATAAAGAAGTTTTTAAAATAATTTAAGGAGTACATTAAATTTGTGAATAATAATAAAAAGATTAGCGATATGAAATTGTCAAAGTAAGCTATTAGCTCAACCGTAATTGACATATATCTCACACAAGAGATTATGAATTCGATTCCCACCCCATAGGTTGTAATTGAAAATTTCTCCCAACACCAAACAATTTTAAACTGGTTTTTTTAATTTATGTTTACTTGTTTTTGTCTTCTAGTAAAACCGTGAGTTAAGCACACGATTTCATTTGTTATACTCATACAAATAATATATAGATAAATTCCTTCTTTTGCCTGCAATAATTTTGTGGATCCAAAGCTTGAAATGGATTCTTTTATTTTATTTTATTATTATTAATGAGATTGTTTCAAACTCTCTCATTTAACTTTTCCCTCTTTTCCTACAACTAAAAGTTGGTGGTGCTTTTATTATGGACCAAATAATTATTAATATCTTTTTTTCTTCTTTCTTGGGGTGAGAGATTGAATGGTTAACTTTTAAAATAGTAATAGATGTCTTATCTACTAAGGTAAAAAACTTGCTCCTCAAGGGTCGTTTGGTTCAAGGTTTCAAAAAAGATGTCTAGGATTAAGATGTCCCTGAAACAAAGATAACTGTATTTGATTGTATATATGTCCGAGATTAAGATGTCTGAAAATAAGTTATATATGTTTATTTTGTGCGATTACTTTAGAAATATGCATTTTATGTCATTGTAAACATTGATTAATGACCAATCAAATTTAAATAAATAATGTAAATTATTTTATTTTATATTAGCATTCAAATTTCAAATTAACAATTTTGTTATATTGACAATTAGCACAATAATCAATTGAGTAGTTAATATTAAATGTTATTTAACTAAAATCCAATACATACATATTTAATAAAATGATATATTTATATAAAGCTTTAAAATCAAT